ATAACTCAGCCAAATCGCAACATGGGCCAATATCCTCTTAGTCTTTTTATCAGCATGATGATCCCTACATATGGGCAAAATATGAGCAAAATTGGCGTGGATCAGTTGGAACGGTTCCTTCGTGAGAGGATCAAAAGTCGATTTTTCATATTACCACAGCTTTCTGTTGAGCGCGATTAAGTAAAATTTGTGATATCTCAAGAACCAAGGCTCGTAAAACCAAACGATGCTAGACTTTTCTATTACTCATGAAATGAACATCGTCTCAGTCGACAAACAATGTAACTCTGCAAAATTAAAATATATATTCTCCGAAATAATGAACTTGCCTAGAGCTAATTTTTATGGATTATATTTATGATACTCTGAAATGCTAGAAAATCTGTATCGAAATTTTTCAAAAAACATCGATTTATCCTACATTAGAGACTTGACAGAGTACGAAAAAAAAAGTGCTCTTATAACCGAATGCGAAGTGCAAAACCTTCTACGGAATCTCTAAATGTTGGCAAAAAAAAAAATTTTGTTTTGCGACTTCAAAAGATTTTTCGAAAACTGGTTTTTAAGAGGAAAATTTTCGGGGTCCAATCTTGGGTGTAAATTTCATCATTCTTGTAGCTCGGACTGTAGAGTCTATCTTGAGTTTTTCGGATTTTTTTCTCATATGGTTAGAATGATATCTGCTACTTAGTTTTTAATTGAAAGAGCCAACATTTTTAACGTGTCGACACTAAAAGAACTTATTCAGAAAGATTATCTTTGTAGAGAATCAAAGTCAAATGAAGGGCGGGTATATCTCGTTTTGCTTGAAATTTTCTGTGTCAAGTCAAAATATTTATTCCTTCATTTTAACACTCGTTTTAGGTCGTATTTCATAATATTTTATTTTGCTTTGAATAGTAAAAACAAAGTTTTCTTCTTTTTCTTTTTTTTCGTAAAGATCAAATTTATATTTTGGTATAAAACATCGAAGTAGTCGATCATTAAGTGGCGGATTAATGTGGTTTGATTATAATAAATTACAACAATCAAATGATCGATTTCTTAGGTAAAAAATTTTTGTTTTTTTTTTCTTTTGTATTCAAACAATTTCTTTATTTTTTTATAGACATTGGTGTGATCAAAATGATCGTTTAAAATATGGATGGACTCATCATGATGGAGAAACATTTGGTATTGAACAAATTTATGATGATCATCTACATTTAAATATTCAATGGCTTAAACAAATTAGTGGAGAACATGGTGGTGATTGGACAACAAGAATCAATGTTACTCCACAAGTATGTCATAAAAAAATAAAAAATATAAATCAAACAATTAATAGAAAAGAAAAACATCTGACGCCAATTCATTTAGCGATAAACAACTGTTATATTGCATTATTAAGTGTTTTCTCATAGTTCTTTGTTTTGTTTTTTTTATTTATGAAGAATTTTCAATGAAGCTGAACTATATTTGTAGAACTCATTTTGTGTAATCCGAATCTGATAGTCGTTCTGACGATGCAGAATACTTTTTTTATGATGATTTGTCTTCATATGTCCTAGTTAAAATTTAATATAATTTGCAGTTGAAAGTCAGTTTGATTGAAACAATTTCATTCATTGAAAAATCCAATGTAGATTTCGTTATTCGTCATTGAATAATTATTCTCATGAGGAAATGATTCGAACTGACAGCCACCGTTTGAATTCACTTTCAAATTATAGACTATATCGATTCATCTACAAGACAATAATCTGTTCTATTTTTCAAACATGAGCTTTAAGTAAAATGATATTGTCTTGAAATGTTGATTTGTATCTGTTGTAATAATTAAAACAGCTATATTTTCTGCATCCAAGAGTTTGATAGTATGAAAAACTATTATTTCAAGATCTAAGAAGATTTCTCCTTATCATATTCGAAATTAGCATGGTCAATAGCCTAAAATCTATATGCTTTCTAAAAAAAAGTAATCAATTAATTGAAAATATTCTCTCATTAAGATTTCTTCTTAGAAATTTTAACCGAAAAGAATGTTCGGTTGCCGAGCTATTGCATTTTAAAGTAAACTTGTTTTTTATGATGTGTCAATGGCAAACGATACTTTTTTTTTGGAAAATTAAATATCTCGAGAAAGAAATATTCAGGATATTTTCATTTGACCTAATTATAGGCAAAATGAACTTGTCGAATAAGATGACCTATTCAACAATTGAGAAACCAAAAAATATCATGTTGTAGAGTAAGCTGAAGCGTATTGAATAGTATATAGTAAATCTTATTTTGATAACTCTTTGACGAAACTCGAATCAATTTTCAGCTCCAATCATTGCATTTTTTTGATAGGAAAAAAATGTAATTTTTCAATGATTTACCACGGTTTTACACGAATGATGAGTCTTCAATATTTTTTTGAAGTTCTCCAAAATTTGTGCATGTTTGTCGAAATAGTCCTGCATTGAAAACTCTAAACCAATTTTCTACATTAATTTTCCTCTTTTGATGTATGTTAACTATCAAAAGTTAATTCTAATACGAAATCAACATAATAAACTTCATTGAACAGATTATATTTTAACTATATATAAGTTATTCAATGCATTTCTTTTACAAACACTTTCAACCAATACTAACCATCACAATGATCATGCTTTGAATGTATAGTCATCTGTCAGTAAATTAACTCTAGTTCCTTCAAAGTTTTATGAACATAAAATTTACTATATACCATTCGATGGGTCTTGACTTCCTGTTTTACAACGTAGTTTATTTTAGGGGTGGGAAGTTACCGTTACGTTCCCAGGTAACTGGTAACGAAAAAGTTACCGCCGTTACCAGTTCCCGGGTAACTGGTAACGGTTTCAAACCCGTTTCCCGTCCCCAGCTCCTAATCATAGGGGGTCGTCAAGTCCAATTTTGTATACCAAAAAATTTTTCGAAAAAAAAAATTTTTTGGTATACAAAATTGGACTTGACGACCCCCTAGGGTTAGAAGCTGGGGACGAGAAACGGGTTCGAAACCGTTACCAGTTACCCGGGAACTGGTAACGGAAAAGTTACGAGTTACCTGGGAACGTCACGGGAACTTCCCACCCCTAATGTCCGCGTCAGAATAAAAGAGGGGTGAGTGTAAGCTCAATAACTCGACAACCGCAATACCTAGCTACCTGCGGTTTTCACCAATCGAAAGAGGAGGAGCGGGCACGTC